TGATATTGCACATTTATTGTTTCTTGTAAATACCTTGGTCTTCTAGTTTCCCTACAATGATCAGGCTTCTGTAAGTCGCTGAGCTCATTAACTGAGTGAAGGCTTTGTGACATCGYTTGGCATTTTTRAGGTGATAGTGCAATCCTGAYTCATTGGATGCAACTGATGCCTACATTATAAATAYGACATGTAAAAATCTAGACTGCAGTAGTGACAGTGGTGTTCAAAGGAGTTACTTTATTCATTCATTTATTCCCAGTAAAMATAATCAATACAGTACCTCTCTACTGAGTTTTAACAGGTTTATAGCAACAATYAAGACCCAGTAAATGAGCTTCACCATGGCAACTGCCAACTGAAGAGCATCATCATCATGGCAGCTAAAACATGAATAGGATGAATGGGAAAAAAAGGAAAAAAGGTAAATATGACAAAGTGCCAATATATCTGGGATTTTTTAAGCTTACCTCATGTTTGGGATAAAACTGATGAGTAAATCAAGTAAAGCTGTCAAACATCTGTGTTTTTCAATATTCTGAAACTGATATTTTATTTGCCATTTCAATAAATCATTCAATAAGTAAGAAGCAACTAATTTTAAAGTTTATGTGACAACCATGTCCTCAATAGCTTCATTCAAGCGCAGTTGCAAGTTGCTTTAAAACAGATAAGTTAATATTGTTTTCTTGTTGGTCTATAAACTTAATGACTAAATCCTGTATCTCAACAATCACTTACATAAATATCGACCCATTCATAATCRATAACAACCATTATCATTTATTAATTCATCAATTAACTTTGGAGTACATGGAATACCTTTTGAATTGCCTCTAAAGCCCTTGAACTGGGTATGACTTCAGCTATAATACCGTGTTTGAGATATGACAATATCAACATTGTGGGAGTTGTACCAAATGTGGCTTGTTGAACCAGGCAATCTATAAATACCATGTCATTATCAATATGAAGCCCATCATTCTAKATATCAAACTTGATAAATAGGAAAATTTAGACATGAAAGTATGAAAGTAGAACGCAAGATCGTTCTGGACAGCTGTCTGTCAATCGAASATCACTTTTATYAGACGAAASCTACGCAATCTTTYATAATAAGCGCACTCTACATACCTGCAAGYCCTTTATAATCCTCGCTCTTGGCATTTTTCTTCACTTCAATTAACCATTTTAAAGGAGTCCATCTTTCTCGCCAAGCTTTCAAAAGAGTATTGATACCACAAGTGTCCGCCATCTTTGTTTTTCGGAAAGTTGCCGCTGACTGGAAAGATCGCAGGCATAAACCCCAGGAARCCCAACTCTAAAATGAGAAAATTGGCCTCATTCGCAGAGGTCTCWTTTTATAGCTTTGGGCTACCTTTTCTCTTATATGACGTAGAGGCTTATATCCCAAAGAGTTGCCTRCGGAAGRTKCTAAAAGAAAATGATGGCTACGGTGAAGACTGTGCTCTGGCAGCCCACCCSTGTATAGTTCACTTTGTACTTRTGATTGCGYTTCAGACTTTGCATCCTCTATTTCWTGTCTGAGCGAACCCTTGAGGTCCTGGAGGCCAAACTCCTTGACCGTCTCTCTTGCCTTKCTCAGAGGCACTTGTTTTTAAAGTGCGCGAAAACARCGCTTCGCGCCAACAAAAACAAGTAGCGAAGAGTGGGGRAARTATAACCTCTGGTACCAGGGTACTGAATATTGGTAGTTCGGGGCTCTTCTTTATATATAATACTTGAGCTATGATGGTTAAGGCGCTACTATAGGGGGTCAATATTGTTACATTATCACTTCTATTCATTTGACCTCGTGTCCTATTAATTAACCACCTGTTGATGGGTTATATCAAGTTTATAGTAAAACACCAAGACCATTGCTAACTATGACTTCCTCTATACCACATATCAAACCTGTTTGCAACCATAATTTCTATGAAGTAAAGTTCAAAACACGAATTTTCTCATTCTTTAAAAAGTTCTCGAAAAAAACCGCGTGATTTGAGGTCAATAGATTTAAGCCATATCCGGCCTTATTCCCGTATGYTGATTTTGCGATCAGCCAATCAAACAATTCAATATAATRATATTGGCAGGTGATTGGCCAATCAGGATGCTTGATAGATCACATGTAACACTCGTGGCACGTGGCAACAGCTGTGGTATGAACAAAAGATTACTAATCTGAGATCTCCAGGAGAGGAACCAAATGATAAYACTCGTAACGTAAATTTTCATATATTTTCATCATAGCCAGACATTCATTAACAAAGAAAATCATTTATTTTGACTACAAGTCTCGACGACCAAAGAGATTGTTTAAACAGAACAATTGTTTAAATCTAACTGTACTGCATGGAAAATGGGATTTTGTTTTGAATTCGAAGACAGTACTGGACCGTCGTCGATTCTTMAACAGATGAACGACTTTCGCCGGGATGGCTCGTTTTGTGACGTGGTTTTAGCTACTGAAGATGGAGGGAAATTCGAGGCGCACAGACTTGTTCTGGCATCGGTTAGTGAGTATTTCCGCGCTATGTTTCTAAGTGAAATGAAAGAAAGTCAACAAARATATATCACCATCAAGTCCGTGGACTCAAGTGCGCTGGAGCTACTTATTGACTTTGCGTATAGTTCAAAAACAAAAATTGATAGTGGTAATGTAGAGAGCGTTTTATCTGCTGCGAGTATGTTACAATTTATCAACGTCGAAAACGCTTGYTATGACTACTTGATGAAAAACATTAATGTCCCGAACTCCCTTGCGATCTGGAACCTTGCAGACCTTCACGGATGCGAGGAGTTATCAGAACTTGCCGAGGCGTTTATTAGAGGGAATTTTGTTTCTATAATCAAGCATTCSGAGTTCACTACGTTATCATCWTCACARTTAATTCGTCTTCTTTGTCATGATAAGCTAAACGTCCCTTCAGAGAGYGCAGTCTTTGACGCTGTCATGCTTTGGGTACGGCATGAAATCGACGCGCGATCAAGTCTTCTATCTCAGTTATTAGAGCACATTCGATTTCCTCTATTGACGAGAAAGTTTTTAATTGATACTGTTGCGAAAGAGAACTTAGTTATGAATGATCCTGTTTGTCGTAATTACGTATTGGAAGCTATTGACTACCATCTTATTCCTGAAAGACGAGATAGAACRAAATCTCCCAGAGCAATTCCAAGGGAGCAGTCCAGTCGTGCTGTCTATGTAGTTGGTGGCGAAGGTTGGTCGAATTTTTACGTTTATAAATGTTATTATTATAACTCTTATCAATCAACGACTCTTAAATACTGCCAAACAAGTTCCAACGCGCTTTATTTTTCACCGCAGGACCGTTTTTATTCCCTTTCTAGTATATCTATTAAGTATTTAATAAAGAGATAAAATAAAATAAAAGAGACAAAATACAATTTAAAATTAAAGTGAATGTAGGATAAAAACAACAACAAAAAGAGTTTGGAGGCGCTGCAGAATTTTAGCAAATATTTGTTACATTTTGTCACCATTAACTTTCATAATAACTCCTGAGGTGCTAATAGGGGTTCATTCAGTTCTCACCTGCAATTGTTCAATAAAGGGCCCTTAGACAGGGCGTACAATAACAGGCTTTTYACAAGGCGCCATCGCCCACTCTTCTTCACCTGATCTGCAAATATACATTTTCGTGTTTTCGTGAAAACCTAGATAACACGGGAAGGATCATTATTAATATTGGATATTAATCCACTTCCTGGGCCTGCTGATAGCAATTAAGTGAAGAATTTATCATAGCTTGTYCATTAACTCAGCTGGCTGTCGGCTACACAACAGATGTCGGCGGATAGTACCGGAAGGATACCTCTACAAACAGAGCCACTTTTCTCTCATTCGGTTTTGTTTGAAACCGTTTGACCGGAAAAAAATAGAACATAAMYTAATGACAGARGTGCACTTCTGATAATGAGCTGTAAGAATTCTTAGTTTTTT